CCCCTGGGTCATAACTTCGAAATGGTTAAGATCCCCACCCCAAAACTATATATACAATTGTTGGGCATAAAGAGATGAATGCAGACATGATATTAGAATTGACCCCAGGGTCTGCTCCACCCCTGCCCCACCCTTGCAGACTTAACCCCTGGGTCATAACTTTGAAACGGTTGAGATCCCCACCCCAAAACTATATATACAAATGCTGGGCAAAAAGAGACAAATGCAGTCACGATATTAGAATTGATCCTGGGGTCTGGCCACAACCCTAGGGACCTAAATGTAGTTTCTGAGTCAAAGCTTGGAAACAGTTGAGATCCCCACCCCATAACCATATATAAAATTGCTGGGCATGAAAAATCTAATACAGATATGCTACAAGGATTGGCCTTGTGGTCTAGCATATTCCCTTGATCTCATTTGGGGAATATTTTGCCATGATTGCTTAGGTATCCAGGTGAGCGATACAGGCCCTCTGGGCCTCTTGTTCATTTGTCCAAAAGTGTCCGCTCCATATTTCAAGTAGTTTTCAATGGATTAACTTTATAGGAAGGTTCATTACCATGATAGCTCAGACACGTTTGATAACTGTAATTATTGGACCGTAATTCACAGAGTTATGGCCCTTTATTCAACTTCCAAAACAGTGTCTGCTCCATATCTCGAGTACCGTAAAAACCCATGTAATTTGCGCACTTTTTTTCCAGAAATTTAATACCCAAAGTGCACAAATTACACAGGTGCGCAAATTACATGGGTTTTTACGGTAGTTTTCAACGGATAAACTTCAAACTTCATAGGAAGGTTCATTGCTATAATAGCTCTTATGATTTTGATAACCGCAATAATTGGACAGTAGTTTACGGAGTTATGGCCCTTTATATATAAACCATACAGACAACTGCAATGTATGACAGGCATATTATGTTCTGCTTTCCCGGTACCCTTGTTAAAAATACTTTATGTTATATATACATTTTCACACTTAACAGTTACCTTCATCTTCCTCTTGTATACTGTTCAATATATATCCTGCTATTGGATGTACATAAATGTTAACTTTATGCAGTCTCTGATGGACATTCACCCAGCTCAGTACAAGTGTTGCTGTTGTCTTGGCAGATTCTTTCTGGAGGTTTGCTTTACACATAATAAAAGTAATTATTGTAATTGGATTCTGTATTGTTAGGGATTGGTCACATGCATCAATGGGTCATGTGATAGTAGCCATCGCCACATCAGCAGAGAGCCATCTTGATCTGTATTAAAACGTATAATTGTGTTGTAACATTTTAACCAACATGAACCCCAAATTGTCCGTTTTATCATTGATTTCATTGATTATAAGGCTCCTTGCTGTCTATTCACTTGTTCAAATTGTTCAGACTAATTGTCTCTGAAAGATTAGTAACCGATACCTCTGTTGTTGAGTCAGGGGAGGTCACTCTGTATAGAAGTGACCTTGAACCTCACCGTTGTTTCCATTTAGATAGTGACTAGTACCAGTAAATTTCGTTATTTTTTGCATATTTTGAAGATTGACAAATAATCAAAAGTTAAATCAAATTAATATTCGTTACATTGCAATCCATATTTCTGAATGCATCCCAAAATTTCAGCTTAACATGATATTAAGTGACAGGCAAGGCTGCAAAACAGTTTAATAAAACAGAATATATATACGCATAGAAACAGGAGTATAGAATATGTACATAGATACAGGAGTATAGAATATAGATATAGATACAGGAGTATAGAATATGTACATAGAAACAGGAGTATAGAATATAGATGTAGATACAGGAGTATAGAATATGTACATAGAAACAGGAGTATAGAATATGTACATAGAAACAGGAGTATAGAATATGTACATAGATACAGGAGAATAGAATATGTACATAGATACCGGAGTATAGAATATGTACATAGATACAGGAGTATAGAATATAGATATAGATACAGGAGTATAGATTATGTACATAGATACAGGAGTATAGAATATGTACATAGTCACAGGAGTATAGAATATGTACATAGATACAGGAGTATAGAATATGTACATAGATACAGGAGTATAGAATATGTATATAGAAACAGGAGTATAGAATATGTATATAGAAACAGGAGTATAGAATATAGATATAGATACAGGAGAATAGAATATGTACATAGATACCGGAGTATAGAATATGTACATAGATACAGGAGTATAGAATAAAGATATAGATACAGGAGTATAGAATATGTACATAGATACCGGAGTATAGAATATGTACATAGAAACAGGAGTATAGAATATGTACATAGATACAGGAGTATAGAATATGTACATATATACTGGAGTATAGAATATGTACATAGAAACAGGAGTATAGAATATGTACATAGATACAGGAGTATAGAATATGTACATAGATACAGGAGTATAGAATATGTACATAGAAACAGGAGTATGGAATATGTACATAGATACAGGAGTATAGAATATTTACATAGAAACAGGAGTATAGAATATGTACATAGAAACAGGAGTATAGAATATGTACATAGTCACAGGAGTATAGAATATGTATATAGATACAGGAGTATAAAATATGTACATAGAAACAGGAGTATAGAATATGTACATAGAAACAGGAGTATAGAATATGTACATAGAAACAGGAGTATAGAATATGTACATAGATACAGGAGTATAGAATATGTACATAGATACAGGAGTATAGAATATGTACATAGATACAGGAGTATAGAATATGTACATAGATACAGGAGTATAGAATATGTACATAGATACAGGAGTATAGAATATGTACATAGATACAGGAGTATAGAATATGTACATAGATACAGGAGTATAGAATATGTACATAGATACAGGAGTATAGAATATGTACATAGATACAGGAGTATAGAATATGTACATAGATACAGCAGTATAGAATATGTACATAGATACAGCAGTATAGAATATGTACATAGAAACAGCAGTAAAGAATAAATCATAGAATGTGAACAAAGAAACTAGAGTATAGATGTACGCTTTGAAATAAATGATGAAGTTCATAAAATATTTGATTTTCTTTGATTGATGTGTAATAGTTGCTCTAAATTATATCATTTTTCAACAAATTTCAATTAAAATTCCATTTGAAACATCCATGGAGAAAGTGCATTCCACCTTGTCTCGACGTTAACAACTGTTAACAACTGACAGACATTGTCACCCGGAGTGTTTAGCATGCCTGACCATAAGATATTACATCAGAAAAGCATGTCTGTTGGTAGTCAAGATATATTCCCCTGGTAAAGGAGATATAATCCTGTCACCATGCTGACCTAAGGGGGGTAGTGTACGTGTCTGCCACCTATTATAGCTGTGATTAGCAGTATTAATTAACATTATCTTCTCTGTCGATCAGAGATGCCTGCACTATCAGGGTGTAAGCGTCCCTTACAATAGTGTTTTAACTCAGCCCCACAAATATGACAACTTGGTGCATCATGAGACAGACAACTGCAGCATGTCACCAACCGGTTATTCTGCTGGCTGTATTGCCATTTAAAGATGTTATCAGTAATTACACAGTGGTAGATGACTCATGTTAACCTTCTTGTAATCATGTATTGTAGTCAGGTTGGTGTTGGAGTCATCTTGTCTCCTATTCCCTGAAAAACTTTAACATTTGAATATTTTTAAAAGTAAATTTCCAATTTTATCGTGAGAGAAAAAATGAAAAAAAAGAAGAAATCTGATTTAATCTGAGATATGTGTCATTGGGGATTGTTTAAAGTTGTAAGTTTTGATGGATTTTGTGGAGACAATGTTTCTATGAGCATCGTTATCAGCACTGAGCGGCGATCTTTTACAACTATTACTTTATCACATGATGTTGTCAGTGCTGGTATAGGGCCTCATGGGGCTCAGTTATCTCCCCCTAGACAGGGCCGTTTATGAGCAGCAGGAACTGATAGTGTTTAAAGCATTAACCTTCTGTTATGAAACTGTCAACTACAAAATTGAGTGTTTTTTTTCAAATTGTACTTTGTAGTAATATATTGCATTTGTAACCTTTAAGATGTGAAGCACAATTTACTGTACTCCAAACTGCCACATAGCGCTGATCGAGGCTAAGTTAAGATAGGGAGATGGACAAGTCAAGGCCTATCATGTTTACTGTGGCATATGTAGTCTCCACAGTGAGGATGCTGAAGAGATGTCTCTTTAGAACAAATCTACCGTATACATACTACTTAAAGAGTGTATATGTTAGAATGATTACATTTTGAAAACTACTTTAATGCTGATGATTGGTTTATATTTATATATTTACAGCCTGTCTGAAAAACCGAATCAAGCGTCTGGTATATACCAGTACCTACAATGTGGTGTTTGGGGGACAAGAGACAAGAGATGGCGATGAAACACTGCCTTACCTCCCCTTAGACAAGGTAGTTATCTCCCCTATATACAATGTACATTGTAAAACTTCATTATCATCTATATCAGTCGTCTGCTGGATAACCGAAATACTCAGTAGTGAAGCGACGTAAAAACAATCAATCAATCAATTACCTGTATTACACCATATTACCTTAAATGCATTTAGTTAAAGGTTGTTCCCTTTGTTATAGAAAGATATAGATGTTTAATTAATAAAAGTCAATCAGTATCATAGATAACAAATATTACATCAGATTGATAACTAACTTTACATATAAATGTGTCAGGTTTATATAACACTACATCATCACATATAAATGTGTCAGGTTTATATAAAACTACATCATTACATATAAATGTGTCAAGTTTACATAACACTACATCATTACATATAGATGTGTCAAGTCTACATAACACTACATCATTACATATAAATTGTCAGGTTTACATAACACTACATCATAACATATAGATGTGTCAAGTTTACATAACACTACATCATTACATGTAAATGTGTCAGGTTTAACTAACACTACATCATCACATATAAATGTGTCAGGTTTATATAAAACTACATCATTACATATAAATGTGTCAGATTTACATCACACTACATCATTAGATATAAATGTGTCAGGTTTACATAACACTATATCATAACATATAGATGTGTCAAGTTTACATAACATTACATCATTACATAGAAATGTGTCAAGTTTACATAACACTACATCATTACATGTAAATGTGTCAGGTTTACATAACACTTGTGTCAGGTTTACATAACACTACATTATTACATATAGATTTGTCAGGTTTATATAACACTACATCATCACATATAAATGTGTCAGGTTTATATAAAACTACATCATTACATATAAATGTGTCAGATTTATATAACACTACATCATTACATCTAAATGTGTCAGGTTTATATAACACTACATCATCACATATAAATGTGTCGGGTTTACATAACACTACATCATCACATATAAATGTGTCGGGTTTACATAACACTACATCATCACATATAAATGTGTCAGGTTTACATACATTTTGTAACACTACATCATTACATATAAATTGTCAGGTTTACATAACACTACATCATCACATATAAATGTGTCGGGTTTACATAACACTACATCATCACATATAAATGTGTCAGGTTTATATAACACTACATCATCACATATAAATGTGTCGGGTTTACATAACACTACATCATCACATATAAATGTGTCGGGTTTACATAACACTACATCATCACATATAAATGTGTCGGGTTTACATAACACTACATCATCACATATAAATGTGTCAGGTTTATATAACACTACATCATTACTGATAGATGTGTCAAGTTTAACAATCAATCAATCAATTACCTGTCACATATTACCTTAAATGCATTTAGTTAAAGGTTGTTCCCTTTGTTATAGAAAGATATAGATGTTTAATTAATAAAAGTCAATCAGTATCATAGAATACAAATATTACATCAGATTGATAATTAACTTTACATATAGATGTGTCAGGTTTACATAACACTACATCATCACATATAAATGTGTCAGGTTTATATAAAACTACATCATTACATATAAATGTGTCAGGTATACATAACACTACATCATTACATATAGATTTGTCAGGTTTATATAACACTACATCATCACATATAAATGTGTCAGGTTTATATAACACTACATCATCACATATAAATGTGTCAGGTTTACATACATTTTGTAACACTACATCATTACATATAAATTGTCAGGTTTACATAACACTACATCATTACATATAAATGTGTCAGATTTATATAACACTACATCATTACATATAAATGGGTCAGGTTTATAGAACACTACATCATTACATATAAATGTGTCAGGTTTACATAACACTCCATCATTACATATAGATTTGTCAGGTTTATATAACACTACATCCTTACTTATAGATGTGTCAAGTTTATATAACACTTCATCATTACATATAAATGTGTCAGGTTTACATAACACTACATCATTACATATAAATGTGTCGGGTTTATATAACACTACATCATTACACATAAATGTGTCAGGTTTACATAACACTACATCATTACTTATAGATTTGTCAGGTTTATATAACACTACATCATTACATATAAATGTGTCAGGTTTATATAACACTACATCATTACATATAAATGTGTCAGGTTTACATAACACTACATCATTACATATAAATGTGTCAGGTTAATATAACACTACATCATTACATATAAATGTGTCAGGTTTACATACATTTTGTAACACTACATCATTACATATAAATGTGTCAGGTTTACATATCTCTGAAATGCCTACCAGAAATATACAATGAAGCAGTTCTTCTGGATATTGTTTTTGATGTTTAACATGAAAATGTTTATGAAGTTACTTTGAATATGAAATATAGATAAATATCTAGAAAGAGAAATAGCTGTGTATTACATGCCAATAGGGAGTTCTCAATCTCACCACGAAGTGATTAAAAATTAAAAATTGATGTGCATTTCAAAGCCTGAACTTTTCCACAATTCATACTGGTCACCCTGGGATAGGAAATACTGGAATTACTCGGCTTGTAATTAATTTACTTGATGCCTTTTATTCTAGATACTGGTCTCTTGTATGATGATTTAATGAATTAGAAGAATTACATAACACTAGCATACTTTATTCACAGTTTTATTGGTGAGACATGTTGTTAAAGAGACCATTTTTTTTTAATATCTGCTCTGAATGTTAAATGTAACACCATTAAAGCTGAGAATTTTAAGGTTTTAAATCGATTTTAATATCAATCAATAGAATTTGGAGACTTCTTGGCGCGGACCTCCATTGATTCTTTAACTGGAAATTTACTTAGTATTGTCCATGAAAGAAAATATATGGTCCATGTTACAGACTAGTATTATATAGGGCAGGTCCCTCTTGGAAAAATCTACCCTACAACCCCTACACCAACACCCATCACCCCCACATACAACCCCTACAGCCACGCCACCCCCATCACCCCCACATACAACCCCTACACCCACACCCATCACCCCCACATACAACCCCTACACCAACACCCATCACCCCCATACACAACCCCTACAGCCACGCCACCCCCATCACCCCCACATTCAACCCCTACACCCACACCCATCACCCCATCACCCCAACACACACCCACACCCCCTACACCAACACCCATCACCCCAATACACAACCCCTACAGCCACGCCACCCCCATCAACCCCACATACAACCCCTACACCAACACCCATCACCCCCATACACAACCCCTACAGCCACGCCATCTCCATCACCCCCACACACAACCCCTACACCCACACCCATCACCCTCACACCCCCTACACCAACACCCATCACCCCATCACCCCCACACCCCCTACACCAACACCCATCCCCCCCATCCACAACCCCTACAGCCACGCCATCTCCATCACCCCCCCACACAACCCCTACACCCACTCCCATCACCCTCACACCCCCTACACCAACACCCATCCCCCCCATCCACAACCCCTACAGCCACGCCCCCCCCATCACCCCTGCATACAACCCCCACACCCATCACCACATCACCCCCACACCCTCTACACCAACACCCATCACCCACACACACCTACAGCCACACCCATCACCCCCATACACAACCCCTACAGCCACGCCACACCCATCACCCCCACATACAACCCCTACACCCACACCCATCACCCCGTCACACAACCCCTAGTCGCACACCCATCACCCCTACACACAACCCCTACACCAACACCCATCCCCCCCATACACAACCCCTACAGCCACGCCACACCCATCACCCCCACATACAACCCCTACACCCACACCCATCACCCCGTCACACAACCCCTAGTCGCACACCCATCACCCCTACACACAACCCCTACACCAACACCATCACCCCTACACACAACCCCTACACCAACAACCATCACCCCTACACACAACCCCTACACCAACACCCATCACTCCCACACACCCTACACCCTCACACCCACATACCCACACACCCTACACCCACACAACCCCTACACCCACACCCATCACCCCACACTCAACCCCTACACCAACACCCATCACTCCCACACACCCTACACCCACACACCCTACACCCACACACCCTACACCCACACAACCCCTACACTCACACAACCCCTACACCCACATCCATCACTCCCACACACATACATCCACACCCATCACCCCCACACTCAACCCCTACACCAACACCCATCACTCCCACACACATACACCCACACCCATCACCCCCCTCACTCAACCCTTACACCAACACCCATCACCCCCACACACATACACCCACACCCATCACCCCCACACTCAACCCCTACACCAACACCCATCACCCCCACACCAATCACCCCCACACCCATCACCCCCACACCCACACCCTACTTCCACACCCACATCCATCACTCCCACACACCCTACACCTACACACACCAGCTGGAATAGTGAAAAACAGGTAGAAGAAATTCAAAGAGTTTGTAGTCAAACAATAAATAAATAAAAACAGGTGATATATCATTCCCTCTATAAAAACACTGACACAGAAACATGTGGTAGTGACTGTTTCTTTGAACTACTTAAGTACTGATTATCTTGTATATTGGTAATTGAAAAGATTGATATTCCATCACTTTGAGATGCTCTTTATTACAATATTGATTGAACTTAACAATTAATTTCCTTCATCATAGTTGGTCCCTGAATAAAATGCTACAGTGATTTCAAACAGAATTCTCCTCTCTTTAATCTCCATGTTGTGGACATTGTCCACATTTGTACTTAGGAGATGACTAATTAGTGTCACCTAGTGGTAATAAAAGAACGGACAAACTAGTGTCATCACAGATAATAAAGACTTTTTTAAGTAATAGATAACATCACTTTTAAATTATGAATACAAACAT